GGGGGGGGGGCACCTTATCCTTGCGGCGCTGACCACGAGTTCATAGCCAACTTTGTCAAACCCCGCTGACACATTTGCTTTCTCCTCTCCTTCTTTCTGCTTCCACCTTCCAAAGCCAACTGCACACCCTCCTAAGCATCTTGGCTCGTCAATCCACCTCCTCACGCAAATTGCAACCCGTTCCTCTTCTGATCCTCTTTACGCGTTCCGATCTCTCCCCACTGCTCTCGACGCGCAGCACCATCGTCGACCCCAAACGACGCACAGCGGCTTTACTGCGTCTCAAAAACTCCCTCGAAGTGGAGCTCAATCGACGTCGGGCTGCGTTGGGACTGGGCAATCGGGAGAGCAGAGTGGAAGATATGGGAGTGATCCATTCGGATGCCTCTTACTCATCTGCTGGTATCTTCGCGTGGGTTCGTCGAGCACTGGGCATGCGCGATGGTAGCGGTGCTTCGCAAGCGACGCCAAGCAAGCATGTGGATGAGAGGAGGAGGGAGGAGGAGGAGGAAGAGGAAAGGGATTATGTGGCTTGGGAAGACAGGTTGGCTGATTTCTCGTTTGAAAAGATGGACGAGCAGATCCTTGAGGCTGGCCGAGCTCATTTTTGCTTGGCTAGCGTCGACGTTGCTCAGCAGGCTGATCAAGCTTGGAAAGTGGACGATGAGGGAGTGGTTTTGGAAAGGGAAAAGTACAAGGAGGAGGAGGAGGAGGAGAAGGGGGGAGTGTTGAACAGCTCATCAGAGTTTGACGGGACGTTGGAATTGTCTCGGTGGATTGATGCTCTGTGACCATGTACATTCACACCCGCAAACCCCCCTCGCCTTCGGTTCTGTCTTGCTCGACGTGCACTGTGACTGCGACAGTCAAAAAGACGATCTTGTGCGCTTGATGGTCGGAGGAAGCTTCGACGCGCGAATGCGACGCTCTCGCTTGAGAGACAAAATCTCATCCAGCCGACTGGTCAAAGTTTGAAATATGCCATCGAATGTGGTTCTCAAAAAAGAAGAGCAAGACGAGAAAGAGGGGCGACGTGCAGCTTTCCGCGGGATAGGAGCAAGAGGATGATTCGATTTGGTGGGGGGACGACAAGCCAGGGAATGGAGGCGTTTCTTCAGAAAAGAAAAAAGTAGCGGAAACTTTTGGTAGGGGGGGCGTAGAGGGTGTGTGCGCTAGCGATCGCATTCCATTTGCCAAATCGGCCGCTGATGTGTGTTTGTGGGGCCTGGCATCGCGAACAGGATCACGGCACCGACGGTTGCTGCCATCGTCCCGAATCTCTAGTGCACCCTTGGCTTGCGCCTATAAGTATCCTCCGTAGCGCCCTTGCTTACCGCAGAGATCAATTTGACAACTGCAAAATCCAGTTCGCAAAAGCAAGAAGAAGGGGGGCGGCAAGGGTGAGCAAGGGCTTGAGAGGGGGGACATGTCGACTTTGGGGCTTGCAAAATGGCTGCCCACCGCGTGGGCGAGCAGGGCTGATTGCAAAGACTCGCGCGCACCGCCTCCGGCTCGACTCACACTCTTGATCCTCGGGAACATGAACGAACATCTCCAGCTGATGAGGTGTCCCTTTTGCGATCTCCTCTTTGCGCTTAGTTCTTTGCTCATTCTGTGGACATGGAAGGAGCAATGCGATGCGTAAGCTAGCCTCTCGAACATGCCCTAAGCAGTGTATGTCTTGTCTGCGCAAAAGCACGATGTTCCGTGCATCGCATGCCGAACTCACTTCGATCCTGCTCTTATCTTTGCTCGCAGCATCATAGTTGCCGCTCCTGATTCCCTCTGCCGTCTTTTCCCAAACTTTCCTGCTCTCCATCTTTCCCTGTTTCTCCAAAGGCTGCACCTGAACTTCTCTCCTGTCATTGTTCGCATCCCAGAACACCGAGTCTTGGCCAGGTGGTGCCTTCTTCCACTTGCTCACGCCTGACCATTCTCCCTCTGCGCTGTACAGCACTGCATCAAGCTTGGACGTGGGCGCAATGCTGGCCTTGAAGGAGTGAGCTTTGCCGGAAAAGTAGCCCTTGCCGGTATAGTTGATCGTAGCTGCGTATCCTGTGCTGCTGATGATGTGGTTTGCGCCTCTGCGGAGAGAATGCATCACCAGTGAGCAAGGCGCGAACAGTAATATGGAGGCGACATTGAGAAGCCCTGCGTTTACGCGCTCCGCCAACTACCAATCCAGCCACGGCACTGGCGTGGCGCTCCGAAGCTAGCTTGCTTGTCGAGATCGCTCTGATCTCAGGGCCATGCGACTCACGATAGCTCGATATAAGGCGCGCCCCAAAGGATGCCTTCGATGCTGAGTTGAGGCAGGGTGATGAGATAGAGATCCTCTCCACCTTGCGCGTCCTTCCTTTGAACTCTCAAGATGGCATGGCCGACCTGCTTCACAGTGATCGATCGACCAGTGAAGGATGTCTTCTGAGCAGAATGGCCCTCGAGAGAAACGCCAGCTTTCTCATTGCTGATGTGATAGGCCGTGATGGGTGGGTGGTGCGAGACTGGTGATGCGAGGGGGAAAAGAATAACAAACAAGCTGGTCAGCATGCATGCATGGTGCCAATCTGCCTCGGCAGCCAGTAGCCAGTAGCCAGTACTGCTGACCTTGCTCTGCTACCAGCGTGGTCTCGCCTTCGCCCTTCTGCTCGGGCCAGCTACCGATGAAGAGTTCTCCGAGAATGGGATTGAGCGGTTTCTTTTCGCTTCCCATGGAAGTGTTTCGCGAAGTGTATTGACCCTTTAGCGTACCGATGAACCAACGCAGCACATTTGTCATTCTCTCCACATCATCTCTTCCTTGAGCGCAAGCAGCAAAGAGCTCTGGATGTTCACCCCAGTAGGAAGGATATTCGGTCAAGGAGACGGGAGAGAGGATGAAGCTGGGTGCGGTCATGGAGGAGAGGTCACCAGAGAAGGAGGCGATGGATTTGATAAAGGAGCCCCATGATGCCTTTTGAGCCTCGGGCACTGCGCCTCCTACTTCTTCACCAGACATGTTCGATCTTGCAGGATGAGTGGTGAGAGGAGGTGAGGCAGATAGATGGATGTTTTGGTTCGTTTGCCTAGGCGATATTTTTGAAGATCTATAGCTACGAAGTGCGAGGCGGCTGCGCTCCCCGAAGATTGAGCGGTGCTGCTATGATGACAGATTGCAGTGCAGACAGAGTGACGCGCCCGCTGATTGCGATGCGAGAAAAGTGGGAGGGAGTAGTAGTGGGTAGTGGTGGGAGTCAGCAGAGTGGTGAGGACAGCCTCGAGAGTCTGTTGTGAGTGCGGTGGAGTTCCCCGCGCACGTCGAGCTACACTTCTGACCTGCACAGCAGCGCGGACCTACATCATCGAGCACAGGCGCGGCAGCTGCAGCTGGGCATGGGCATGAGCATGGGCATGGGCACGCTGCATGCAGCTATATTCACGATTATACACCACCTACACAGACACAGAGGCGAGGCAGCAACCCCACCTTTGACGACCGACCGCTCACAAGTTCGTGACTTGCTTATTTGTAGTCGTCAATTTGCATTCACGTCAATCGTGAGTCGAATCTAGTCAAGTCTCGAGCTGATCGAAAGCGGGGAGCCGGTGCACTCGCGACTCGCGACCGTGAATACTGATCGGTATACTCAAAGACTCGACTCAAAGCTCAATTAAAGTGTTCTAGTCTTGAGTTGCCCCCCCCCC